GGAAGGGTAACTGATGTGATACAGCAATTTGTATACGGGGTAAAAGCGGGAGTTCATAATCCACTTGAATCAAACCGTGTAATATGATGTATTAAGAACTATGTAATGTTATGAACGACCAATAAAAAAAAAAAAAAAAAGACCAGGAATGGAGTTACCATTTGAACCAGCTATCTGTCTTGGTATTTATCCAAAAGAACTAAAATCAGCATACTGTAGTTATAAATACATAACAACGTTGACATCAACACAATGGCCAAGTTATAGAACCAACCTAGATGCCTTTCAACAGACAAATTCATAAAGAAAATGGGGTGCAAATAAACAATGGAGTTTTACTTAGCCATAAAGAAGAATGAAATTATGTCATTTGCTGGTAAATGAATCAAACTGGAAGGCATCATGCTGAGTGAAATAAGTCAGACTCAGAAAGTCAAGGGTTGAAAAGTCTCTCTCAGAAGCAGAAGATAGAAGGAAAGAATTTTTAAAAGGGGGACCTCATGAAAATAGAAGGGAGAACAGGAAAGTAGAGGAAGGGACCTAAGCGGCAGGAGGAGGATTGGAAAAAGGGAGGAACTGCAGAATAAAACTGACCAAATTATGCTGTCAGATACATGCATTAATATATCACAATGAATTCTTTTATGTATGGCTATAATGCACCAATTAAAAAAATAAGTAGAAGGGAGACCAGGAAAGTAGAGGAAGGGGGCGAAGGGAGCGAAGAGGAGAGGGAGAAAAGTAATGGGTATTGAAATGGAGAAAATCATGTTATATGCATCTATGAATATGTCCTAATGAATCCCACTATTATGTATGTCTATAATACACTAGCAAAAACATTTAAAAGAATGCTTATTTGAAAAATCATATATCTTGGTTGGACTCTACTTATACTATATTTCCTATCTATTTAGAAGAAATTCTAAAAGAGTTTATTCTTTGTCTACCCTGCTTAAAATACCTGATTCAAACATTTTTATCTTAACCGCTTCCATAAAATCAGCTGTCCCCACCAAAATATGCTCAAGGAAATCTTGAAAGGGGAGTTGACAGAAAGGCCACCGACTTACATCTAACTGGTGCCAACATTATCTCTTCAACATTTCTCTTCACTTAGACCTGAAGTCTGAGTCATTTTTTTTTCAAGTTTCAGAGATTTATTAATCAGTGTAATAAACTCCAACAAATCAACATGATTTCATGCATTTAAAGGAGAATTATTTCCTGGTTAAGTGGAAAATTGTGCAGATGCTTCTCAAAGACCTTTATCATAAGCAGCTTTACAGTGAAATGTTTCATTTAAAGTCTGGGCCTTCTTTCTTCAGTTTGCTGTAATCAACATTCACTGAGTAGAACTTGTATTGATCATTAGGACCCAGTTTTTTCCAGGGTTCTGGATTATTCTTCCTGTCCCAGCTGACATCTGGATTGAACAATGCCAGACGCATCACATACAGTGCTGCTCCAGTACCTCCTGCTCCAATAAATACAAAGAGGGGAATCAAGCTTGGATGCTTCTTGGCCTGACCAATGATCTGGCGGAGCATGTTTGCAATAGAGGCCTCCGGCCCAAAACGAGATAAGAAAAACCTGTCAGGCCCAAGACCAAGCAGCCTCTGCACCCAAGCTGTGCCTGAGTCATTTTTGAAGCTTATCTTTCTCTACTTTTCATATTCAGTCGGATACCAAGAAGAACTGATGACTCTTCATTTGTGTTTTCTCACTCATACACACACATCCATTCCTTTCTAGTTCCCCTGTCACCCTTCATTTCAGTCCCTTTCATCTCATGCAATTTCAATATCTTTTTTTTAAAATTTTCTGATCCATTCTGTATATTGTTTCCCAGAATTTCCCCCTCCACACCACTTTTCTCTGCTAAAGAAAAGCAAAACACAACACAATCAATGATTTCAATGGCTATTACCAATAGAATGAAATCCAAATTCCCAAAGCCAGTATTTTTTTTTCAGGCCAAGTCAGTACCATTAAGAGATTTCTCTATCCAGATACCAGAGCCTCTATCTTACTAGAAAAATTAAAGTATGTGCTTTGGCTCAGAGGACCTTCCTACCTGGTACTTCTAACCTTCTCTCCTATATCTTGTCACCAGATTCCTCATTGTCTGCCCTCTTCAGATCAATCGTGAATTTGGGCACCTGCTTGGCACCTGCTTGGCTTTGGATTAAGCTTCTAAAAAGGTGCTTTTGGGAATCTCACTTCATGCAGTGTGGTCAAATATGTCTTCTGACAAATTTGACCCAGCTGAGGAGCAACACCCTGGCCCTTACCATCTGGGAAAGAGCAAGGTAGCCTTTAGTGGTCTTTTCAATATGGCCTCCACACAGATTTTTCTAAAAAATTCCTTGTTATGGTTTGGATGTGAGGTGTACCCTGAAAGCTCACATGAGGCAATGCAAGAAGGTTTGGAGAGGGGCAGAGGTTGTGACTTAGTGGTAGAGTGCTTGCCTAGCACGTGTGAGGCACTGGGTTCAGTCCTCAGCACAGCAAATAAATAAGCAAACAAGTAAGTAAGTAAATAAATAAATAATAAAGAGCATATGTGTGTGTGTGTATATTTATATAAAATCATTTCTCCTCCAAACCTCCTCCCCCCCCCTCTCTCTCTCTCTCTCTCTCTCTCTCTCCATATATATATGAAATGACTAATGATTGTGTTTTAGCCTTAGCCTAATCAGTGAGTTGGTCATGATGGGATTAACTGAGGTGATAGGGTGTGGCTAGAGAAGGTGGGAAATGGCTTTGGGTATATATTTGTATCTGGAGAGTGGAGTTTCTCTCTCTGCTTCTTGATCACCATGATGTGAGCTGCTTCCCTCTGCCACACACTCTGCCATGATGTTCAGCCTCACCTCAAGCCCAAAGAATGGAGCTGGCCTTCTATGGACTAAGACCTCTAAAACTGTGAGTTCTCAAACTTTTCTTCCTCTATAATCATGCTGGTTGGGTTTTTAAGTCACAGCAGTAAAAAAGTTGACTAAAACATCCCTCCTTGTGCAAATGATTTATTTCAGCATAGAGTCCACCTATGGTACCCTGAATCTCTACAAACTCATCCTAATTCATTCTCTTATTAGAAGTCCTATTAGTCATCACAAAAGAATGGAGAGGTCACTCCTGTTAGATTTCTAAGGCTGTTTTCTTCTAACATATGGATACAATCAGGGAATCCAGTGTGACCTCTCTATCCCTCATCATGTTCTCTGCTTCTGTAGACTGTGTTTCACCTATCACCAGGGACATATCAGGAATGACCACTCCTAGTGATCCAGTCGGAGTCAAAGTCCCCTTCAACTCTGTCTCTACCTGACCCATTAGCCTGTCAGTCTCTACTTAACCAAACAGGGCCTCAATGAAAGTATGTGGGGTGTTTGTTGTTACAGTTGTTTCCTGAAATGACTACATTAACAGGGTGCAAATGATGGCAGGATGTAGATTCTTGTTACAGAGGTTGATTTTGATCAGAAGTAGTTACTCAGAAGCAGCATCATTCAATGTAAGTAGGGTTTTCATAGGGGCACAATAACCTTATGATCAAATTAAATTATGTAAGAAAGGCCTAGATTGCTAAAGAATGGCATTCTTGGGGGTTCAAAATGGATAAACAATAAGGTTAGGGATTTCTAACTTTGTGCTAAAAGCAACAAAAATACATCTCATTTTTGAGAAAAAAATATGTTCACCTAATTTTTCTTTTTTTGTACCAGCAATTGACCCTAGGGGCGCTTAACCACGAAGTCACATCCCCAGCACTTTTTAAAAATATATATTTTATTAGCAACGGGGTATTACTGAGTTGCTCAGAGCCTCACTAAGTTATTGAGGCTGGGTTTGAACTTGAGATCCACCTGCCTCAGGCTCTCGAGTCACTGGGATTACAGGCATGTACCACTACCTCTGGCTCTTCACCTAAACTTCGGTGGAGAAAAACAACTCTAGTGTTAGTGATAAGGCTGGATTGGAAAGACCTGTTTATCAAATGCTTCTTTGCAGAGCTGGTGAGCTTTGCTTGGACACATGGTGTTTCCACAAGGCTAGTAGTACAGTAGGATTTCAGCCTCGACAGGAAGATGCCTCAAAGGGTCTTCTTTGTTGCCTAAATCCTTTTGTCTACATACCAATGCCACTACCCAGTCTCAGCTATTCTTAGTAATCCAGAGAGGACCAAATTTCCTCCTTCTATTTTATTACACTACAGATAACCTAAAAAGTACATCATATAAAATAGGTAAGTATAGAACAAAAGGAAAAACCAATAAAGCAAATGTATAATGCGCTGATACTACTTTAGTATTTAACTTCATTATTCATGATGGTTATTATGTATGTTTGAAGATCCATAAAATTGATTTTCTACCCATTGGGGAATAAATGGGCTATTTTAAACAATAGGCCCACAAACAAATCCTCTGAGGTGCACGACAGCACATTTTCCTCCTTATAATCGCCCACAATTAGAGCAGATTCTTTCAGATACATAAATTAAAGCAATAAAAAGAGGTGGCTATAAATAGCTCTGCTTGTTCACACTGAAGGAATTGAGCTGTACACTACAAATCCTTGCCCAAAATAACTTTGTTCTGTAGTTGCGAGCACTGATAAGAATAGGTTATGGAATCACCAGATGGGAAGAAATCTTAGTCTAGTGCAAATCTTTTCTTCCAAACTAGATTGGCTCAAACCTCCCAGAAGACAAGAATCTGTCTTGCTCTACTCGGATCATCCATATCAGTGAATGTCCACAGATTAGGCTGGAAAAAAAGAGAGAGAGAGAGAGAGAGAATACCTGTGGGTGTTTCTTATAGCTCATACCCTACACAGTGTCCCTTCCCAGGGAAGTGAGAATGGGATAAAGCTGACATGCTGTAGTGGGTGCTCAGGGACTGAGCATCTCTTCTTATCTCTGGTTGAGATGCTTGAGGTCAGGTGAAGACCTGAGAACGTTATCCTCAAAATGCTTCTGAGATACTAAATCCAAAATCAGGATGCCCATTTGGGGGTTTGAGGGCAGACTGAGGGCCAAAGTATGAAATTAAAATAGGACAAACAATCAAATCAGGGGTTCTGAAGGACTTGGGTGGGTGGTAGAGTCCTTTTGACAGATTTGGAGTCACAAGAACGATACTTCCATTCATGGATATTAAGTTCAGACACTTCTTCCGAAGAATAATTTTTTTAACATAAACTTCTTGAAAGACAACTGGCTAATTAGGCAATGTGTTTTGCATGGCAGATTTCTTTTGATTATAACAATTATAATCAAGAAGGATCACCAAAATAATAAAAATGAAAAAGCTAGAGCTCACACAGCTGCCTATTCATTTAATTCTGCTTTCTTTTGTTTATCTCATGTCAATTTTATGTTTTGTTTGTAATAACAATGAAGGTGATAAGAATTTAAGAGGCTGCAGATTCTATCTCCATCATCCATGGAGGCAATTACGTTTAGAATAAAGTACTCCACAGAGTACAACTAACACGCAACGGCAGAATACACATTTTCATTTCTTTGCTTTAAATTTAATACTAATCATTTCAAAAATCTGAAAAATAATAAAAAGTGAATCTGGAAAGACGCATCCTCAAGAAATTGATAGTCCAGTTAAGATGAGACCTGCTCATTTCTCTAGCCATTTAATCAACCATACGTTTCTCAAGAAGCTGATGTTTTAAAAACCATGTTTTAGAACTATCAAGTCTTAGAGATGAAACAAACTCAGAATTCATCTGGCTCCAAGTATTCTCTAATGTGCCTTTAGAATTAGACTAACAACCAGAGAGGAATTAATGCATGAAATATGAGAAACCACGAGTAAAGGAAATGCTGGGACTACAGAAAGCTCAAGAAGGAATTGCCAATGTTGGACAAGATTTGGTGAAAGAGATTCTCCAGGGCCTTTCAAAGGTGAGGGCAGAATGGGGTGAGCCTCTTGGTTGTTCCATTGATGCTATAAAGAAACCAATCTTTATTTCCCTAGGAGTTTATATGTGGAAGTCCCGGATTTTCAGGAGAGATGCTTTTACCAACTTCATGTGTAAATCCCATCACTTTCTGTGACCTACCTTATCATGTAGATAATCCGTTTTTAAAAAATATTTTTGCATGTAATCTTTTTATGTGTCTTTGAGGGTTTAAATTTTTAATGAAGTATAGCATTTGACTATGCATGGTACATGCTCAAAGAGCTTCAAGATGGTAAACTATGCTTGAAAATTTGAAGAATGCTGAGTTTTGATCTCAGAATCAAAACTGCAATAAACTATATATTCAGGCATATTTTTATACAAGACAGTATGTCTTTTTATGTACTTCTTACCAACAAGTATAACAGGCATATAAGGTAGAGATCCTCTTAGAAATGAAGCCATGGGAGTTCATCTGGCTAAGTGGTCTTCCTGTGGGGAAGCAGCCAGACACTGGCTAAGCAAAGTCAAGAGAAGAATTATGGAAGAAATGGTTGTTCTTTCAACTTTTATATTCATCCTAAGAGAAAATCTTTTTATTTACTTATTTTTAAAGTTCTTCAATAGATCCCTCAGGATCCTTAAAATGAAACCTGGGGAA